AAAAATAACTAGAAAAAGGCCTAAAGGTTCTATTCTAAAGACAAACATCTTTATGCACTCCAGATGCTTTGGGCTACAATTCCTCATTCTGGATAAGGCTCATGAGAATCAAAATCCAAAATCAAACCAAGTTATAGTCCTCAACTTACGACCACAACTGAGCCGAAAATTTCTGTTGTTTAGTGAGGTATTTGTTGAATGGGTTTTGCCTGATTTTTGCAACCTTTCTTGCCACAGTTAAGCGAATCGCTGAATAAACTGGTTGTTCAATGAATTTGGCTTCCCTATTGACTTTCCTTGTCAGAAGGTTGCAAAAGGTGATCATGTAACCTTCAGTCATTGCAACAATCATAAATATGAACCAGCTTCCAAGCATCTGAATTTTGATCACATGATCCTGGAGAATGCTGCAAAGGTCACAACTGTGAAAAACAATCATAAGTCACTTTTTTCAGTGCCATTGTAATTTTGAACGGTAAACAAACTGTTGTAAGTCAAGGACTACCTGTACCCTGTTGTCTATTTGTCTCTTTCTCCTTGAAAGAGAGAAAAATAGAACAGGGTTGCTGACACATCCACTCTCCATATGTGATTAAGTGAATTTATAATTAGTTATCAGTAGTTAATAATTAATAACTATTAGTTAATAGTTATCAATAACCTTTTTCTTTGAAAAACAATGCAAAACTTCCAATCAAAGATGCTTGTAAAGAACCAAGCCAAGATCAAGCAATAGAAAGCTTGGAGAGAAACAGAGGACAGCTTCAAATCCACTTCACCTGGATTGCTTCTTTTCTATTTATCCCATTCCAGGTTATCTAAAATGTGATCCAATAGCTTCAAGTGGCATCTATTTGGTAGTTTCCAGAGCAGGCTTCTAAAAAAATAACAGTGTATGGCAGGGATCCCCAACCATTGGGCCACAGCCCACTACTGGGCCATGACCTATTTAGAACCAGGCCACATGAGAGGCGGGCCAGCGCACATGGGTGCATGCACAGCTCGACTTGCAGAAGTGACCAGATTCCCCTTCCTCCACCAGGCTGCCAAAGCTGTAAAGGTTGGGAACCATTTGGTAATTTCCAAAATATGCCTCCACCAAAATTGGGATTGGGGTTTCAGGGGTAAAATGGATAATTTTGCAGATTCTTAAAGCAGCCATTTCACCTTTTAAAACTTCTAAAAATTCCTGCCTGAATTGGTCCTGGCTCCACCCACTTTTAGGATACAGCCCCAGGCATGGCTTGCAAAGCCTGGCATTGTTTCTTCCTGGAGTTCTTATCCAAATCTTGAAGATAGATGCAATTCTGCAGCTTTGCTTATTCATAAATGCATTACTTAGCAGCTGATTTGAGAACTCAGAACAGGAGGGAAATAACTCTCTAGATCACATTTGAGTTGTGCACTTCCTGATTTGATTGGAGCGGGCAGCTGTTACTTTGGGGAATGCTGACATTTGAAAGTGCACAAGGCAATACATTTTTTGGTAGGAGTATTAGGATGAGCAGATTTTTTCTTCTGCCTATCCCAGAAACAAAATAATGACTTCAGGCTGGAGAATTATTTATGCAGAATTAGAAATCATCAGAACAATACTACAGTACAGTAACCTTCTAGAAGAGTGTAATTCTCTCTAGCTTCTAGTGGCTTCCTCTTTCAGATTCAGGAGGAGAAAAATGCTCTTCTAACCACTGAACCAGGTGTGTGTGTGTGTGTGTGTTGTGTGTGTGTGTGTACTCGTGCATGCAGATTAGTATCTACCCTCTGATGTATCTCTAGATGTTTTCCAAGAGATAACCAGGAACCTACAGGTCCTAATTTTATAGTAGCAGAAACTCTGAAGATCTAAACTGGACTGCAGATTTATGTTCAGATTCACCAAGAAATCGTAGAGCCACCCATTTGGCATTTTCAAGTCCTGTACTGTATGCCTAGAGTCATAATGGTTTCGCCAGTTTTATAAATTTATATTGTAAATTTAAAAAATAAATCTGGATGTTCAGCTTTCTTTTCAATGGTAAGCAAACTTTTCAATTTAATTTTAACTTTTTAAATGTAATTTGCCCCTATTATTTAATCGGGTAAGAGTTAAAATGCAGGCAATATTTCTATTTAGAACAGGTGTCCCCAGCCCCCATTTGAGGACTGGCACCAGTCTGCAACATGCGAACAACCCAGGCTGTACAAACAAGCAAAAACCCCATCGGCGGGATGCAGGCAGCATGTGAAACCACGCCCCCTCTGGTCCATGGAAAAACCTCCCTCCACGGAACTGGTCCCTGTTATGCAAAAGATTGGAGGGGCTGTGATTTAGAACACAGAAAGTACTATGCGTAGACAGTATTACTCTAAAGAATACTAGCATCCAATGATTTTGTCTTGCAAATATGTAGACAACCAATGAATCCATACTGTAGAATTTTAGATAACTATTTTAGCACCCTGCAATGATCTGAACTAATGGTTACAGGCTAGCACAAGTGAGGATGAGATCAAAGCCAAACTTCTAATCATTCTAAATGGTGATTTTTGCTAATACAACAAATGAGTTTCACAGGTTTATCTCCCTTAAATCATTGAATTCTAAGTTCTGGTTTGATGAGTTATCAGTTAATGGCCACAAACTTTTTCTAGAACATGTTCAAATCACATACATACTAGTATACTTATAAGACAAGAGACTCTGCCATCTAGCTTGACCTTAGAATTATTTTTGTTCTGTGAGATAGAGATTAAGAAAACATTCTTCAAAAACACTTTAAAATCTGAATTGTTGGCAGTTTGGGTGATTTATGAGCCAAAATATAGTCATAAAATCATCCCAAGTCCGAACATTGCCAAGTCTTTGCAGGCAGGAATAAGCAAAAAGCAATGTCCTTAAGGCTATTGATTTAACAGTGCTTCTGCTTCACTCAGTAGAAGTTGTACTGATAGTCTAAACACATTGAACTCAATCCAGCTGGCTAAAGTTATCTGAAACACAAAGTTTACTTATTCTAATACAGGTCAGTCTCAAAATAGTTAAGACCCTTGAGCCTTACACTGGAAATTCATGTGGCTTTTTTCAGTTCTGATGCAATATTTGCTAACTGTATTTTTCCATTGGGATTCATTCCAAAATCAAGCTAAAAAAACATTGTTAAAATTAGACTGAAGTAACAAAGATTCCTTGCACTACCATTCACCTAAAGGAAATTTTCTGAGATAATTGAATGTGAAAGGTAAATCAGAAGTGAACTACACACCTTCCATTCAAAAGACAGATCAGAGTTAAGAGCTGCTGAGGGGGAAAATCCTAATGGGGTTAGAAAATGTTTAAGCAAAACCTGCTATCACTTTACAAAAATCAAAATTCCACTTTATGCAGCACAACCTACATATACAGGTAGTCCACAAGTTACGACCACATTGAGCCCAAAATTTATGTTGCTAAGTGAAACCTTTGTTAAGTGAGTTTGCCCCATTTTGTGACTTTTCTTGCCACCATTTTAAATGAATTCTTGCATTTGTTAAGTTAATAACATGCCTGTTAAGTGAATCTGGATTTCATATTGATTTTGCTTGTCAGGAGGTCACAAAAGCTGATCACATGACCCTAGGACACTGCAACCATCATAAATATGAACCAGTTGCCAAGCAACTGAATTTTGATCATGTGACCATTGGGATGCTGCAGCAGTCCTAAGTGTGAAAAATGGTCATAAATCATTCCTTGTGTCGGTGTAACTTTGAAGATCACCAAATGAACTGTTGTAAATCAAGAAATATATTGAAAAAACTCAAGTAGTATTCAATTAGATCAAAGCCCTATATAGCTGTTAAAAACAACAACAATAACACATCATAGTGCTTTATAGCCCTCTCTAAGCAGTTTACAGAGTCATCATATTGCCCCCAATAATTTAGGTCCTCATTTTATCATCCTGGAAGGATGGAAAGGCTGAGTCAACTTTGGGACGCTGAGAATTGAACTCTTGGCCAGTGAAAAGTGAGTTAGCCTGCAATACTGCATTCTAACCACTGCTCTTAAACTAAAGTATACTACTAAAGTATAACAAGGAAGGCTTACTCAATGCCAAATTTATTCCCTGTTCTAAGAGGCAATATGAGAAAGAGCACAATTAAATGTTCTTTTTAAATATATCAATGGCCGGCTAGCAATGTAGTTGCTGTTCAGCGAGTGATATAATGCCTTCACCCTCTGGGTTGGTGCATCCTGGGCCAGGTGCAACCTTAGAGTCATCTTCAAGGGCCAATGGAGAGACTACAGTAATCCAACCTTGAAGGCCACCAAAATATGTATCACCAATGCTCAATTTTTCTTCTCCAGGATTAACACCAATTTATTATCCAAGGGTGATAAAATACCTTCTTGCCAATGATCTAGATCAAGGGTCTTCAAACTTGGCAAGTTTAAGATTTGTGGACTTCAACTCCCAGAATTCCTGAGCTAATTTGACCGAAGGAGGAATTCTGGGAATTGAAGTCCACAAGTCTTAAAGCTGTCAATTTTGAAGACTCTTGATCTAGATCCAATAGAACACACAAGAGATCCAACAGGACATCTAGTCCTTAATGGAAACTGCAATACCGCCACATACACCCAGATTAAACCTATCACCCATATTCTGAATGAACCTAGTCAGTATTGAGAGACATAGCCATAATGTTTAGTACCACTTATATCTTACAAGAAGCAGATCTTATCCTTCATGAATTTACCTGCTAGACTCATCAATAGAACTTTTTCTGTAAACTGTTTATAAATTTACTTGTAAGTCCATCCAAGATCTCTCCAACCCAAAACATTCCTTAGCTCAATTCTGTGCTTTCTAACTGCTCTTGCCAAGGAAGCATCACAAATAGCTTTGTAAATGTTAAAATATTAAGAACTAATTCATCAGCCTTTTAAAAAGATTACTATCTAATCCCAATTGAATCTATTAGCAACTTGCAGTTAGTTAGCTGCACTAAAGTTTTTTGCATGGCAGTGAACTTACCTGATAGGATAGGCCATCCTTGCGGGGGCTTAAACCAATCTCATCCATAGTTGGAGCACTCATCACTTCAGTCATGTCAGCTGATCTCAAATAATCAGGGCTAGAAACAAAGGCAAAGAGACAACTTCAGCAATTACTCTTTTATTCAGTTGCATTTAATAATAGACAAGCAAAGAAGATCTAGGACTCCATATTGATAAGGAATTCTAGTTACTGATTAAGAAACTTAACCATTTCAATGCATATATCCAGTTTTAATTCAGAGTCACCTTGAACTGTGAGATGCAGACAGCAAATGAATTTGATAAAAAATAGTTGTTTTGGAAAGAAAGTACTTCAACCGATTTTGGAACAGGTTGAAAAACATGTCCTATAGGTTCTGTAAAGGCTTCAGAGTTAAAAATTTAAACCACCTAAGTCACCAAAAGGTTTCAGATTGATTCATTCTATAGCTTCAGTTTCAATTTCAGCCTTACACTCATTGTTTCCAGTATAATTTATTTTGAAAGCAAAAGTACATTTTACATTTACAAGCAACTTCTGTTATTTTAGCATGTACCAATTCCACCTCAATTTCCCAGCACAACATTTTTTTAAAGTTTCATGCAACCACTTAAGTTTTAATAGAAATAAAAACAATGAATGTAGCATAAGGCTGCCATAAAGAAATAGCATTGCAAGGTCATTGGCTGTTCTACACAGAAAGGCATCTTTTAGAAAAGGGGTCTCCAACCTTGGCAACTTTAAGCCTGGTGGACTTCAACCCCCAGAATTCCCCAGCCAGCTGGGAGTTGAAGTCCGCCAGGCTTAAAGTTGCCAAGGTTGGAGATCCCTGTTTTAGAATACTTACTCCTGATAATCACATACAAGAATGTCAATATAAAGAATGTGCACCCATCAATCACCAGTGGCTAAACCATAATGGGTAGAAGGTTATATTGTACCAGTCAGTCATGAGACTGGCTTTTATTCCTTGCTTGCTCTTACAACACCTGCTGCTTTTCTAAATTAATACTTTAAGTGCAAATACTGAAGGTCCAGCATCAGCTTTGCTTAGCTTAAAAACAGTAAGCCAGATCATCCCAAGAAATCACTTGCACAAGTAACAATTGTATCATTACAGCATATTATAATACTATGGTGCATATCATATTTTTAAGTTAGCTCAAGAAAATTCTGCTGCTAAGAGCTTAGACTTTATATTTTGATCAGACAGACTAAAAAAAATAAGAAAACATTACTGGAGACACCCAGAGTTGTCTACATACATATTTTAAAGAAAGAACAATTCATGCCCCTGCTGCATTTTAATTATATATTCAAGGGAATATAGTAGAGTCAGTCTTCTTTTGCATATTCCAGGTTACCTAGAGTCCTAGACTGAAAACACAATTGATTTCTTTCTTCACCAATTTCTTTCCTTCCCACTCTTTGTCCCTTGGTCTTGCCTATCTTAGGCAAGAGAAACAAGATTTGCATATTAGGGAAGAAGATTTGCATATTGTCCTTAGAATACATGCACATCTTACTTCACCCACACCTTCCTAATGGGGTGCCACAACTCTCTTCACAGCAAATTCAAAGAAAAATATCCCTTGAGCATTAAACAGTTGGTGAAGAAGCAACAAGTGGGTCAGAATTATCTATGAGAATGATTTAGAGCTATCAGTAACAGTGGTAAACCTTCCAGCGTCTTTGTTTGCAAGAAAATGGGGAAATAACATTGTGATAGAGATTTGAGGTCAGCCAAACAGCTAGACTTTTAAAACAATCAGAATAGAAAACAGAAAAAAATGTTGCAACTAAATGGAACATTGATTTCTTGAGGGTTCTTTTTAACAATGTATATAAAGGTTAGTTAATTAGCCAGGAAACCATCCAAGTTACAGTGTCTGGCAACAGAGCTATATATAGAGCAACAAGAAAATTTATCAAATAAGATAAGATACATCAGTTGCAGATCTCAGCATTTCATCTCACAGGTTGAGAGAGGAAAGTTCACTTTGCTTACACTGTTTCTTCACTAGCTATTGAAGAAGAGATGCATATTTTGTGTCATACCTGCCACTTGTACTCAAGACTACTGGATTTTGCTAAAACTGCTAAGAATTTACTATCTGTCTGCTAAAAGGTATTTATTCTTCTGATGACATTTGTCAAGAGAAGCAGCAATATACAGAGACAGTAAGAATATATGCACAGCAGGGCTTAATATCTGAAGGGGGAGCCATTTCCCCCCTCTTGCTCTCTGCCAAAAGGCAAAAATACTTTAAGCATCCTTACTTACATCAAGCCAGCCTTTCTTGAAAACATTCCAGGAAGGCGGTTATACAACTTTGCCGCAGCTCACTCCTCTTCTAACAACAAAGAAATCGGGCTGCACTCAGTTCTAAAGTGCAAGCCTAACCCATTGGGTGCACCTGCCATGAAATGCACATTTGGAGCCTGAGTTTTTGTGCAAGTCCAAATTTTCAAACTCAGGGATAAATCCAACAGAAACAGGAGTTTCTGAACTTCTTTCCAGAACCCCTTACTCTCCAGTACAGCTTACTGTACCGTGTTTCACCCACATTCGGGATGATGGATCAGGGCTTCTGAGTCAATTTAAACACTCAGAAGGCAAATGACAAAATCTTAAATTCATTTTTCTCTCCCACCTCCATCAAGGTTGCTATTTCTCAACCAGAAGAATAATTTGGTCTAGTGATCAAGACACTAGGCTAGAAATCAGGAGATTGGGAGTTGACCTGCAGCGTTATCCATGAAAGCCAGCTGGGTGACTTTGGGTCAGTCACTCTTTTTCACTCCAACTCGCCTCACAGGGTTGTTGTGGGGAACATAGTATGAGGAAGATGTGTTGAATAGATTTGCTGCCTTGAGTCATTTGTAAAAATAATAAAGGCAGAATACAAATAAAAAGCAGCAATTGTGGTGGGTTCCATTCCAGAATAAAGTCTGCAGCCTTTGTTGATCTGTCTTGAAAGCAGCTGTTTAGCAGCAAACTTCCTACTGTGGTTAAGTTTTCTTCAGCTTGAAATAGCGTCCCCCATCTGGTGGGGGGAGCAGAACCCCCCCCCATTAAGGAAACAAAAAATCTCTGGGGATCTTCATTGCTATCTGCAGAATTCTGCTAACAGGCCAGTTCTTTTGTTCGGACTCTAATAACCCTGATGCCCCCCCCTCTTCCGTCCACTCCCCATCGCTGATGGGATAGTGCCCTATAGATTAAAAACAAAACCTAGGGAGCTAAACAGTTGCAATTAGGAATACCGGAAAGGGGGGGAGAAACAGCTGTGGTGCCGGTTATTTTTTCACCGAAACCAAGCCAGTGGTAGCCGTTTTGTTTTCTCCATGGAGCTCCAGCTGGAAGAAATCAACACTTGCTGGCAAAAAAAAAAAAAAAAAATCCCCCCTGGGACATCATCGCAAGCAGGCAGCCTCGATCCAGACACCACCACCACCACCCCCACTTCGCGAGAGGAGAGCTGCCGCCTCGCCCCGCAACCGAGTCCTCCACCACAGCCTCCCCTCTCGCAGGAAGCGACGGATTGATTATTATTTTTTTAAAAGAACAAGCGCTTCGGAAGCAACCCCTCCTCTCTTCTTCCACCCCCCCACCCCCTCAAGCAATAGGACGTGCCGAGACTGCTAAGGAGGGTCCCCGGAACGCCACCCGCAGTTTCCGGGTAGACTTCGGGCTCCCGAGAGAGCTCAGCGGGACCCCCGCTTGCGGGATAGGATCGGACCGCAGGCGCCGTCCCCGTTTTGCGCCGGATTGGAAGGACGCGCCCACGGCTTGTGTTCGTGGCGCCCCTCTTCTTTCCCCCCCTCCCCCCCGTCCTTTCTTTGTTTCTCCTTCCCGCGCCTTCACCCTCCTCTCCAACATTCCTTGAAGTTCTCCGTCCCGGCGGGCTCTCGCCAAGGTGGCGTAAAACCCTCTTCCCCATTTCACACCTCTTTTAACACCCACCCAACCGAGCTCCGCGCACCTCGCCAGCCACACCGCAGAGCCTCGTCCAGGTTACTCACCAACGAATGGAGAAAAATACAGACATGTATGTAGTCCTAACAAAGAGGTCGACCCAACGTCCTTTTGTAGCTCAGCACAGGAGTAGTACAGGAGGAGGAGGGGGGGTGACGAACTAGAACTAAGCCAGCAAAAAGAGAGAGAGCGTTAAGTTTCCCCGTGAGAAACTCTGGCCAAGAGATCTCTAAGAAGATTAAAAACGCCCCGTTCGGTTATATATACACACACACACACACACACATATATATATTGGGGTTGAAGCTGCTCGGCGAAGCGCCTTTCTCCCACACGCCGAAGCTACAGGTTTACCTCCACCACTAAAACTGACCAGCACAAAGAGTTTGAGAGCTATTTTTATAGACGAAGGGGGCGTATCTAGGCTGACAAAAGCCCGCCCTCTCCCTCCGATGATGTCACAAAACTCATGAATGGTTTCATGCGTTCGGCCTGGAAAGCGAAGAGCCCCGCCGCGCAAGAAAAAGCGGCGGGACTGCGGGGCGTTCCGATTGGACGGCCCGCTCTGGCATCATTCTTCGGCACGAGCCCGGCTGGCCGCTGCTGCGCCTTGTTACCTAACGCTAATCTCAGTCGATCCAAGTTTGGCCATAAACCCTCCTCTGATTTCTCCGTCCTGTCTCTACCCCCCCCAACCCGTTTTTTTTTTTTTTTTAATGCGTGGCTACGGGCTTAAAGGGAAAAGTATTTAAGGCATCCCACTCCTGTGAGAAATAATTCTTTTGGGAAGGGTGAGGGGAGGGAGGGAGCCCTTGCTGACACCAGAGTCTCCTGCAGAAGCAGAACACGATCCTTGAGGAAAATCACCGGAAGGTGCATTCAGATACGGCGTTTCATTCATAATAATGGATTTTACAAGCGCTCGCCGTAACCTGCTTTCGTACACTCGGAAAAGGCGGACCTTTCGCCTCCGTCAGAAAAACCCGTTTATTCCTCCCACCAGCTGCGTTTAGCTTCCATTAAAAAAAAAAAAAACCTTACGCAAATACATGCGCGGATGCGCACAGACTGCAAGGATGGAAGCGATCGTTGATGCGCTCCCTTAAGGAAGGCGATGCTTTTTTTAAAATTTTATTTTATTTTGTTCTGGATCTGCGTGATATGGGTCAGGGCTGGTTCCTATTTTTAGTTTCCTAAACCGGGAGAGGAAAACATCTAAATAATCCCTGGGAAAGTGGGCGGAGTTTGCAGCGTTGCAGGGCCATCAATAGCTAAACCGGGTGATTTTGGTTTGGCTTCCGTCTCTCCAAAATAAGAATTATTTTTAGCGTTTGGGAGAAAGGAACAGGGTGTGTTTTGAATGTGTGCTTTGGTGCTGCCGAATTGTTTTCCCACGAGAGGGACAAAAGGAACAAAAGAGTTGCTTTTTATTTATTTCTCAAAGGTGAAGTGGGCAGCTCTGTATTGATATCACCATCGGGCAGCAGTTTTCAAGAGGTCTTTTTCTTCCCTTCAGAAACTGAATTTGTGGGACCTTCTGCATATACGTCTGCTAGTCTCATCTGCTTTATTTTTTTTATCCATTCATACATGCTTTATATCCATGGATGTGGGTATGCTTAATTTCACCAGATGAGGGAGTTCACAGATCCCGTTGAGGGCGCCACCCTCTTTGGCTGCCTGCCCTTCAGAAGTTCCTAGAATTCTCAGCAATGGGGTTTGGGGAATTTGGCGAGCTGAAGTACATGCATCTGGAAAGCTTACCTATGCTAGAGAAACTACATTGGATGTTTTTAAACAAGAATGTTAAAATGGTCACCTAACATCAAAAACGTCATTAAAAAAGCACAACAAAGAATGTTCTTTCTGCACCAACTCAGAAAGCTCAAACTGCCCAAGGAGCTGCTGATCCAGTTCTACAGAGGAATTATTGAGTCTGTCATCTGCACCTCCATAATTGTCCGGTTTGGTTCTGCAACCCAGCAGGACAGACACAGACTTCAGAGAGTAATTAGGACTTCAGAAAAAACAATTACTACCAACCTGCCTTCCATCGAGGACCTGTATACTGCACGAGTCAAAAAGAGGGCTGTGAAAATATTTACAGACTCCTCACATCTCAGACATAAACTGTTTCAACTCCTTCCCTCAAAACGACGCTATAGAGCACTGCACATCAGAACAACTAGACACAAGAACAGTTCCCCCCCCCCAAAGCCATCACTGCTAAATAAATAATTCCCTCAACGCTGTTCAACTATTTACAAAGTCTACACTACTATTACTACTAATCTTCTCATCACTCCTTATCGCCCATCCTCTCCCACTTGTGACTGTATAACTGTAACTTTTGTCACTTGTACCTGTTAGGGATAACATTGTTTACCCTAACTGGTTTGGGTAAAAATAATAAATATGGTATCATGGTTTGTTAGTTAAAGTGTGTGTAACTTTAACAGCAAGAATGTAATTAAGGGTGTGGTTGTAAAAGCAATATATAAGAAGCGAGGCAATAGCAGCTCTCTCTCTGGCTTACTGATCCCTAATTACTGAATGGATTGATGACTGCGTTCTTGCTGAAACGGGGAGAGAAGGAGGAGTGTTGATATTTTTCTCAACGGAGAGAAGATAAGATTGGACTGATTTATTGTAAGTGTACTGACATTGGCTATTCAACACAGACTTTGCAAATAGAGTATCCCTGACAAGACTTGACTGAAATTGATATATGACTAATGGACCGTTACATTTGACTATGCTATAATTCTTAAATGGAATAAACTATATTCTTGATAGCACAAGCGTATCTGTATTTTTACTGCGTGTTAACTAAAAAACTTATTTCACACATTTACCTGTCTTCCTATCTGACTTCGCTGCACATTCTGTTTAGTTTGTTTTCCTTAACACCCGTTGGGGAATCCAGGCTTAACAGTACCCTATGACTATTATTAAGTGTTGTACCTTATGATTCTTTACTCTTGACAAATGTATCTTTTCTTTTATGTACACTGAGAGTATTTACACCAAGAAAAATTCCTTCTGTGTCCAATCCCACTTGGCCAATAAAGAGTTCTATTCTATTCTAAACACAACGTGAGATTGAACTATAATGATGGTGTTGCACCAAAACTAACTTGCAGGTTTTACAGCTGTTCATTAACCAGAATCTGCATTTAAATGACTGAAGTTGAAGTACTCAAGAGATGGTCATTTCTCCTTATCATGGAGCTAAACTGGTCAGGTCTTGCTGCATCCTGGGTGGGAGACATGTCAATGATGTGTAGTAGAATGGGCAGTGAAGTATCCTGGAAAAGGGAAACACTTACGGAAACAACTGCATAGCATTTTCTCTTGGTCTCCACATCAGCCTTCCTTTAGCAAGAACAATCACCAGATTCATTTCATTTTTAGAATTTGCAACCAGAGTAGCTATTATAGAAAAAGTACACAATTCCCTCCAGTCTTGAAAGGCATGTTGGAATTGCCATGCAAAAAAAGAAAAGGGGGGGGGGTGGATGGGCAAAGGAAGAGAATAAGCTTGGGTTGATGCAGTCTGATATTAAATATTAAATGTAATGTAATTATTTCTACTCATGCATTCAATCAAATTACAATTTCAAATGTAATCAGGGTTGTTATTTTTTTTAGAAATCTTTGCTGCACTTGTGTAGTATTTGCCCCTCTTGACAGTATATAAATACAGGTAATCCTCAATTTACAACCTGGTTTAGTGACCATTCAAAGTTACATCACTGAGGAAAAAAAGAACTTGTGACTGGTTTTCACAACATTCCTATGGTCATGTAGTCAAAATTCCTGCACTTGGCAACTGGCCTTTACTTTTTTATTTATTACATTTGTTTGCTCCCCATCTTGCTTAGAGGCATGTTTTTATGACAGTTGCAGTGTCCCATGATCAGGTGATCATCATTTGTAACCTTCACAGCTGGCTTCCAACAAGCAGAGTCAATGGGGGAATGCCAGATTCCCTTAACAATAGCATGATTCACTTATCAACTATGGCAAAAGGTCACAAAATGAGGCACAACTCACTTAACTGTTTTGCTTTAGCAATGGAAATTTGGAAACTGGATGATTTCCTCACTATAGCAAGAATACTATATCTTTTGTGACATGAGCTAATCAATATTGAATAAGAAGGATGGGGGAGGGGGTGTCAGTTAAATAGTATTATGAATGATGCCATGCAAGAGATGAACATCGTTGCAAATCTTGAATAAACCATTTTTTCTGTGCCTGGTATCAAGGTAGATTTAGAATTAAATAGGATGTTGGAACAGTTAATTCAATAACATGGAGTGGTATGTCAATCCAAACTATCGAAGTGTCAAAGAACTGATTTACTGCAGATTTTCATCTATTAAAAAGGTGCTTTTCATTCAGCTTGTAGCGATGTATGAAAAGGTGCATTTGCATTCACAGAGTCCATAAAACACCAAAGCCAAAGACCAAAACACCAAACCCTGCTTGCCAGGGTTTATGACTTTGCACATACAATTTCGGTAATGCAATTTGCACGTCTATCTGGTATACTTTTGTTTCTCTGCTCACCTATACGACCATGAACATTTAGCCTCTTTCCTGAACAATTTGCTATCAAAAATCCAGGCACACGGAACCAAGACTATAAGCTGATCAGAGTTGCTTCTTTATTGTTGCTTGCCAATTTGCAAGAATCTTGCCAGACTTACTACGGATAGTCCTCAACTTACAACAGTTTGCTTAGTGACAATTTGAAGTTACAACAGCACTGGAAAAAGTGACTTATGGCCATTTTTCACACTTATGACCTTTGCAGCATCTCTATGGTCATGTGATTTACATTTGGATGCTTGGTATAACTGGTTCATAATTATGACAGTTGCAGTGTTCCGTCATCCACTTTTGCAACCTTCTGTCAAGTAAAGACAATGGGGAAACCACTTAATCATGTTACTAATTTAACAACTGCAGTGATTCACATAACTGTGGCAAGAAAAGTTGTAAAATGGGGCAAAACTCACTTAACATATTTCTCACTTAGCGACATAAATTTTAGGCTCAATTGTAGTTGTAAGTTGAGGACTACCTATAAATTCTCTTGGAAACAGCCAGATAAAGGAACCAGAAATTTGAGGGGGAGGCTGCCTCCATTGCTTCCTTTCCTGCAAGGATTCCAACCTTTGTAGTCTTTTGACTCATCTCTGACTTTAGCTGGAGATTCCACCACAAATTTATCTCCTCATTTTAAAAATGGATCTTTGAGACTGAGGTGGTTATTTCCCATACCTGGTTTGAAACAAAACAAGCAAGCAGCAAATGTTTATTGGCTATCATTTCTGGCCAACAGTTTACTCAATGATGC